AAAAATATAATTATTATACCCCCGCTTTAAAAAAGTGGGGGTATACTGTTTTACCTCTGTCTGTTCGTCCATCCGTCCCATGAATATTTTTCGTCGCATCTTTCTCAGGAACTACATCATAAGGATTTCTGAAATTTGGTTTTAGGGTTTATATAAGTTAGCTATAGTACCGTGTGATGCGTTTTCAGATTCATCACTCTAACAACTTCCTGTTTACCGAAATTTTTGGTGGGGGTATCATCAGTGAGCAGTAGCTCACAGTTTCACTTGTTTTTCCTTGATTCATGAAAAATTGGTTTCCACCAAAAATAAATCAATCCACAATAATATACTTCACAGGGGTGGGGGTTAAAATTAATCAGATTAGTCCAGATTACTATTATCTTTCTACCTAATTCAGATCTTTGGCTTGATTTCATTAGAATGGAGATGACCAATCCAAAAGGTCAACCTGAAAATATAGGGACTTTACACTACAGAGCTATCAACCAGTTAGATGGAGAGTTAAACCAGCAGTTTGTCACTGAATTCACCTTACTGCAGACAGGTCATGACATTGACATTTTGGAAAGCTAGCTGTTGCAGACAGGTCATGACATTGACATTTTGGAAAGCTAGCTGTCAACATTAATTTTGAAAAATAAAAGATTGTTTATTATTATGTTTTAGATCTTTTCTAATACAATAGTTTGTCTGGAAAGATAAAAAAAAATATTTACAAGAAAATGAAAGTTGGCACTTAAAGTTTATTCTGGAAGTCAAATATTAAAGTATACAACATAAAATTAATGAGATCTAGTACATGTAGTATGGTGGTAAATGAGACAACTATCTACCAGAATCCAAAGGACAAGAATGAAAACAACTATAGGTCACCATTCTTCAACAATGAGCAAAACACAAACTTAGTATGAAGTAAGCTATAAACTGCCCCTACCATAACAAAAGACACATTTATAAGAAGATATAACAAACAGCCTTATTTCTGCTTAAACAAATATGGCAGATGGCAAGAAACCGAAACCAATAAATTACAGGTTCCTGACTGTCGACAGGAATATAAAGACTCTGGATGTGTTAAACATGTTTATTAAGGTTGAACCCTCCCCTAAACCGAGACAGTGGTGAAGTGAAAAATCAATTGAATAAGGCTTGACTCATCAGACTGTAATGGACAAAAAAAAAAGACAATATACACAAAACTACTTGACCAGTTGATATTTGTTATTTCATATATTTGAATACCGACACAAAATGGTGTGTAATTATGCATTCAAAGACAAGGTTGCCTTCTCAGGTAGTTTGACTTTGTATCTTATCTCTCATCTGTGACAAAATTCTCAGAAGAGATATGGGGATGCTAATCAGGTAATGGTGTTAAGTATTTGTATAAAGCCTTATATTTGAAAAGGTAGAAGGCCTGGATGATTCATACCTCATGTTACAAAGTTTGTCATCTGTCCATTGTACTTGACTTCATTTTCATGGTTCAATGATTGCTTAGCAAACTTTTTTTTTTGGCATACAGAGACTACTGTAAATTTAGAAATTATTGTGAGGTTTTTACTTTAATGCAATTAATGGGACTACTTGAGTATAACAATAATAAGAACTCGCATTCTGATATCAAATACAATATATATCTCTACATAGCTTTTCCTAAAATTGCAAAAATTAAACTATTTTTGTTTTAAAAATCACAATAATACATGCATGCTATAATTTCTGAATTTATAGTAATAGGATAATTATATTTGATATATGGGATCCTTGCAAGATCAACATGTCTGTCAGATAGGTTCCCCTCGCTATACTTTATTTCATGGATCAGTGACCAAGGTTAAAGTTACATGAAAAGGTCCATTTCTCAGATACTGTAAGCATAGGTCAACTATTTGGTCTATGGAATGATTGTAAGGTGTACATGTCAAACTGGCAGGTTTATTTTGACCTTGACCTAGTTTTCTTGGTTCATTAGTCAATACTATTTTCTTGTGTTTTGTATGTTTCACAAATACTTGAAGCAATAGGTCAACTTTATTTGGTGAATTGGATGATTGCAAGGTGCACACGTCTGTCTTTGAGGCATCATCTGACCTTGACCTCATTTTCATGGTTCATTGGTCAATGTTGGGTTTCTGCAGTTTGGTCCTTTTCTCATTTACTATTAGCAATAGGTCAACTATATATATGGTATATGGAATAATTGTAAGGTATGCATGTCTGTCTGGCAGGGATCATGGATCATAGATAATGTTAGGTTTTTGCGACTCTGTATTAATACACATGATACATGCAAAACCTTTTTCTAAAAGACTCATTTAGTCTTAGATGCGTGATTTTTTTTTATTAGTTGTTAGTGGCTTTGAACTAGCAGTCAGTAACTGCGAGTACTCTCAGATCTGTACTTCGTGTCTTTTTGTTGTTTGGATGTACAAGTACCCGGCCACATCCACTTGTATTTGTAGTATTTGTATTTTTATCCATCTGATGAGTTAAGCCTCTTTCAATTGATTTTTATAGTTCGTTCTTATGTTGTACTGACTTACACCACTGTCCCAGGTTAGGGGGAGGGTTGGGATCCCGCTAACATGTTTAACCCCGCCACATTCTGTATGTATGTGTCTGTCCCAAGTCAGGAGCCTGTAATTCAGTGGTTGTCGTTTGTTTATGTGTTACATATTTGTTTTTCGTTCATTTTTTGTACATAAATTAGGCCGTTAGTTTTCTCGTTTGAATTGTTTTACATTGTCATTTCGGGACCTTTTATAGCTGACTGTGCGGTATGGGCTTTGCTCATTGTTGAAGGCTGTACGGTGACCTATAGTTGTTAATTTCTGTGTCATTTGGTTTCTGGTGGAGAGTTGTCTCATTGGCAATCATACCACATCTTCTTTTTATATCAACATAAAATCAATCATGATCAGTAAAGCAGATGAGACATTTCAGCATGTGCATTCTTGTTTTTATTGTTGCTATAACAACATACCTGCCAACATTTCAAAAAGCCCATGGGGGTTTAGCATGCAAGATGGCTCTCATTGTCCCACAAAACCTTTAAAGGGGCCTTCAAATTTATTTTAATGATGTTTATTTGCTTCTTCATACTTTAACAATCATATACCCATGGTAAAATTGATTGTTTTGTTTAAAATTGTGGACAAAATTGATCTTTTAAAATTTCCAATTGGGAGCCTCCATAGGGGAAATCCCCCACAAATAGTGACAGTTGGCAGGTATGTATAACAAGGCTTGATTCACAGGTAATTTAAAATGTAGATCTAAAGTCTTCCATGGAAAGTGTGTGCACTCCTGTACGAAATGGGACGCCCGTAAATGACACGGAAACCAGGCGTAGAAATCATACTCTATCAGGGCGTCATTGTAGTGTTTACGGAATGCATGTCCAGGGGTCAACCAGGCGTAAACCAGGCGGAAACCAAGCGTAACTGAGGCGGAAACCAGGCGTAAAATTATGCGTAATATTTAAATGAGTACGCCTTGTCCACAGAAAACCAGGCGTTATATGCAAATGAGTACGCCTGGTCAATAAAAAAACCAGGCGTAATATCCTTACATATAATACTACACTTATTTTAAATCAGTGTATTACCCTAGCTGTGTACTTTTGTGTATTTGATACAAACTTCTGTACTATTGCTTAAATTTCTCTTGTTTGACATGAAACTTGAAATATTAACCATTAATTGAAGACGCTATATAAATAAATACATATTAGACACACACTGGCTCAAATAAGTTTAAGTTTAAATTAGAATTATGACAATTAATTCTTCCTGAAATAAAACCAGCATTTTAACTAAGTTTTTTTGAAAATTAATGTCATTTGAACCAAAATATCAATGATAATACTGCAATTTAACTTAATGTGAAAGATTTTAATGTTATCATCCAAGGATGAAGGTTTTCGGAATTCAAAATTACTGTTAAAAAAAAACTTAGTTACTCACATAATTATCTTTTACCATGTATATTACTTTCCTTTTATTTCACAATTTTCATTAACCAATTTGATTCCATAATTCCAATTTCAAATTCTTCCAAAAAGCACAAAACAAGCTTAATTATCCCTGAATATCTAAAGCTGCCATAAGTCCAACTCTTGCAAAATAATACCAAAGAGTCAAATTTTGAAAAAAAATCCCATGATCCTTTATCAACAAAGCATTATGGGTTTTATGATTTACGCCATACCAACAGTTTTACGCCCGTAGGAAAATTTACGCCTTGCTTATTTCAATTCACGCCAGGTTTACCATATTTTCTACGCCCGTAAGGACTACAAATTTACGTTTCCTGTTCCCTTACGCCTGGATCAGGACACGTAACTACCTCTTACGCCTGGTTTACGCCAGATTTCCAGGCGTAATACGCCTTATAATTTCGTACGGGAGCTGCTGTCTACAAAGATTAATAAAGAAATGAAGTCCATATTTTGGTGTGGGAAACCGCAAATATCAGAGATAAAAAAATTAAATAAATTTAATAAGAATCATTGCAAATTTTCTGAACAATTGATAAAAATAGAAACGGTAAGGTCCATTTTTTTATATTGGGGGGGAAGCCATGAAATCACTTAAATAAAAAAAATAAAATTCAAATGCACAATTTCAACAGTTCAAGTTTTGTATAAGAAATTGAGAATGTTGAGATGAATTCTAAATAGATAATTACAAAGAATTGCATATTAACAAAGTAGGATGTGAATGATGACTATGCAAGATTACAAAAGTGAACACTATGCGTTATTAGGGGGTCTCATTGGGGGGTTCTGATCCCGGATCCCGCTTACTGTTTTGTCAGATTCCCGTATCCCGCTTACACTATGTACATAAGCAATTCTATTTTTTTTTTGTAATTTCCCGTGTCCCGCTAGACTTCATTTCCCGTTTTCACGGCACAATAATTTGACTTTCACGTGTCACGCTTACAAAAAATCGGCAATCCCAGGTCACGCTTAGACCCCAATGAGACCCACTTATTATACATTTTTTTGCTATAGTTTCTCTGTTGGGCAACATAATAAAATAAAAACAGAAAATAGTAAGTTCAAAACATGGGGTACATGTCTGAATGAGGTTTACAGAATAGAGAATAATGGATAAAAGTGCAGAATAAAGGGCCAAAAAAAATAAAGAATAGGGAAAATGTACGGTCTGTACCAACAAAATAAAATAAAAAAAATAAGAGAATAATGAGCCAAAAAGTTTTAGAAATGAAGAACTCCCTCACCCCATCCACACCCACACCCTCACAAGTTATATTAAAGGTCTGCTACCATGACAACAGGCCAGATGGATTATGGGATTTCCACCTTCCTCTGCGGAAGTGGGTAAAGAGTGAGCAAAATTTCTAAACAGTCCTCAGTGGCATCCTTATTACATGTCATTTCTATTTTATCATCATAAGAATTGAATGTACAAAACTGTGTAAAAAGTATGTTCAGTTTTTGTATTCACTAGATTTTCAAAATCAGAGATCAAATATCAATGGACTGTCCATAATGGCCAGGTGGAAAAAAACGAACATAATCCTTCATAATAAAGCTTTTTGTCCGTCTGAGGCAGTTTTCTGGATTTACCTTCATAAGGACGCTGAGCTACTTTGTGGCAGCCAGTTTTTATTGGTGGAGGATTTTTTAGCCAAAGTGCCAAGATAGAACAACCAACCATCTGAGTATCACGCATAAATTTGTTACCAATTTTACTGTGAACTAAGCATAATGGCTTAAGGTGTGTTCATATTAACTAGATTGACTAACAGACTTGTTACTATTAAGCCTGCTCCTTTTCCTTAACTTACATAAATTGTAGTATTTTTGCTGTAATCAATTCCTCCATTTGTATTTCTAAATTTACTGGGTTTTTTGTTACAATTGTCTTTTGTCCTTGACATTTTTCACTCAATAAGCTTGCATTTATTCTAATTTCTATTTTGATGTATATTCACATGCACTCTATTAATATGCCTCTGTACATGCTGACTTAGGCGAAATTCTTTACCACACACACCACACGAAAAGGATTTTTCACCCGTGTGTATAGCATAATGATTTGTCAAGTTGTGACGATTGCGAAATGCCTTATCACACATATCACATTTATAAGGTTTTTCACCCGTATGTATTCTTAAATGAGACCTCAAACTATGATGCTGATTAAAACTGTGCCCACATATCACACATTTGTATGGTTTCTCACCAGTATGGATGCTCATGTGCCTTGTTTTAGAATTTTTCTGACCAAATTGTTTCCCACATACTTCACAAGAATATGGTTTTTCACCAGTATGCGTTGTTGTATGCATCTTAAGGTTTTCAGCCAATCTAAATTCTTTACCACAGATACCACACGGATATGGTTTCTCACCCGTATGTTGTCTTTGGTGTATTTGTAGATGTCCACTCTGACTGAATGCTTTCCCGCACGTTTCACATTTATGAGATTTTTCTCCGGTATGTGTTTTTAAATGTCTCTTCAAGCTGTGATTCTGAGTAAACTCTTTATCGCACAGATTACACTTATAATGCCTTTCGTTTGTATGGGTTTCAAGGTGTCTTTTTAGGTTTCCTTTTTGGCCAAATGCTTTTCCACATTCTTGACATTTATAAGGTTTGTCACCTGAATGGGATTTTAAATGTGCATTCAAATTACTAATTTGTGTAAACACTTTATCACAAATGCCACAATTAAATTGTTTTTCACCAGTGTGGATTACCATGTGTTTTTGTAGCGTTCCTTTTTGAGTGAACATTTTGCCACATTCTTCACACTTATAACGTTTGTATCCAGTATGCGTAGGGTAATGTAACTTTAAGTAGCTAGGCTTAGTGAACTCTTTGCCACATAGATCACATCTGTAACATTTTTCACCAGTGAGAGAGAGTTCAAGATTTTCACTACAATTCAACTCTTTATATATAATTTGTTCAGTAATGAGGGATATTTCTCTTAAATTTTCCATTTCCAAAAAACAAACACATATGTACTCATAGAGGTTTTAAACTAAGTCTAAATATCAGGAAAAATGTTGTTTATCCATTAAGCTGAGATCTTCGGAAAAAAAAGCTGTTCTTTGACCCATTGAGCTGCATCTATAGAAAAAGAATATTGACACTGTGACCTGAATCTGCAGATAAAGCTGCTGTTGACAGAGGAATCTTGATCAGCTGATAATGTTGTTTCAGAAAAAGTATGTGTACTTGATTTTCAGAGAAAAAAATGACTGTTGTTGTAACAGTGAGATTGGTCTGGCCCAGAAAAGGCAGTTGTCGTTTTTTTTTTAATTATATATGCCATGTATAAATGTATGTTTATTTGTTGTAGTGTATTTTTTTTATGGAGGAGGGGGTGGTTAACTGATTCTGAAGGTATTGACAAGCAGTACTGATGATACAAAAAATTAACATTTTATTGCAAGCAACATGGCATTTTTTTCAAAATTTATAGCTACACATGCAGATTATATTTATTTAGTCAAACAATAAATACACTTTTCTATTGTAATGTCTCGAAAATATTGGATTTTATTTTATCATTAATGTCACTATTTGTGTTCCATACTTTTCGTGTACATATAATATATTTACCTTGTTTTATCTTGGATGATGATTTGTGTGTACAAGTTTGTCCAAGTATTAACATTGTTTTAAAAAAAAATAGACAAGCATTGGTATGCTTTCAGTGCAATTATAATCTGTGTACCTCAATCCATAAATAAAAATGTAATGTATGAAATCAAAGTGTCAAGTGCCGGAGTCGCAGTTCATTCTTGTCGATTGGAAGCAATACATTGAAAACGAAAGGTAAATATCATAAAATGGACAATTTAGTAAACTTTTCAATTTAAAAACTGTAACCATTATATACAGTTTACACAGAAATTACCAATAAATACATTTTACTCACACAAGATTCTAATGAAGATTGTCAACCGTCTGACAAAAAATGTTAAGATTTCCCAAGAAAGATAACTCTAAAGATTATTAACGACCTATCATAGGCGGAGAATTCAAAGATACATTTTATATTGATTTGCAATTTTTGCCAAGGAAGCTCACTGGAAAAAATGCATCTGCTAAATTTGGGAGACTTCCTACATAATTACATATTAAATTTATCACAATTTTTAGGTCTATATATATATTATAGGCAGTGGTTATTTGCCGACGTAGTCCGAGATTACTCTGACGGACCCACGGCCCCAGCTTGTCTGGCAAAACAGCCGTTGGACGTCAGAGTAATCTCGGACTATTGCCGACGGTGCCCGGCGGCAAAATAGAAAATATGATATGTAGCCGGCTCTGATTAAAACATCTTGATTAAAAAGCCGGCAAAATAGCATATTTCTACAGCATAAAAGCGTAATTTTTCATATATACTTTTGTACTACAAGGAATTAAACCACTAATTCATAGCCCCATTGCTTTTTACAAGGATTTGAATACTAGTAGTGAATCACCAGAGACATATAATTGTGTTGTATTATATGTCAGTAGCGGATCCAGAGGGGGTCCGGGGGTTGGAACCCCCCTTTTTTGACGATCAATGCATTTGAATGGGGACATATAGTTGGAACCCCCCTTTATCCTGGGTTGCATGGAACCACCTTTTAAAAATAGCTGGATCCGCCCCTGTATGTCTCTGGTATCACTATACAAATCCTTGCTTTTTATGAACAACCGTCTGCAACTTCAATCGTCCATAATTATTTTGACTTAAGTTCAAATAAAGTGATAGTCTTTCCATGTCGAAACTATACCTTATTCTGACATGAGCCGGCGGAAAATGCAGCATATTAGAGCGTACTGGTTTTCGGAGTACAATAACCGATAGTTCTGATTTGAGCAACAGTGCAAATACACATGTATGCTCTCCTATTTAAAGTATTTTTTCTTCAAAGGAATCTTTTAACAAGGGTTCTTCAGTGATCCCAAGTCTGTAAGCTTTCATTTGATACCAAAGTTACCGAAATATTTTACTTATTGACAAAGTGACAGCTATACCTAGAAACTATTTTGTTTTAAATATGTACTAATGTCTGATCTGGTCCGAATTAGTGGTTCAGTATACCTATAAGATCCTATAACAGAACCAAACTTGCTATATTGACTTCTGCTTTACTTAATTGAATTCAGTCTATCTATTGATAGGAAAGAAAACACAAAGCTTTTGTCCAAACCGTTGCGCTATTTCACTGAGTTCAACATGGACTGGTAGTAACATATACGATACACAATGAAATGTTGCCTATGGATAATAATAGTGACCAATATGACTCGGACTCTTCCCATTAATACCAGTTCTCACTTGTTAATAGGCTACTCAAATAAGAATGTTCTTACCTAAGTGTCTTACTTTTTTATCAAAGTGTTTATTGAATATGAATGTAGTAGTCCATGCATCAAATATAATTGAGAATTTTGTCCCCTTTTTTGGAAAAAAATGGGATGTTTTTTTATCAAAACCATACTTCAATATAATAACATTTATCAACAAGAGCAATTTATGTATCTCACTGCTAATCAACTGCGAGTAGGTCTGAAGAAAGACGAAATTTATCTCAAAACCAAAAGAGAAAAAAGCCTAAAAATTAGACAGGAAACAAAATTTTATAACATAGTTACAGACAAATATATTCTGTACATTTTGTTTTACAATCATCTTTGACAATTGTATACATGTGACATTTGGACAAATTGTCGTATGATGAATTAAACAATAAAAGAAGTGACTACTGGCAAAATTTAAAGTGACCATTACTCCAATTAATCTGATAAATGTATCCTGCAGACAAATATTAACCTTTTAAAGAACCAGGAAGATCAAATGTTATCAAAACATACTAGCAACGACTGAGAAACAAATTTCATTACCATCAGAATTCACTACACGTTGACATCGAAATATATAAACGATTCCGGACCAATGTGACCATTGTAAACATTTTATCTATCGATCATTCGAATATTTGTATTTCTCGTAAAACGATATTATTTTATTTTACTTCACCTTCGTTTAAACTTGAGAAAAATCCTTATTATAATATGATGCATGAGGTAGAGGATTTAGTCACAACCAACGAAACCCTACAGAGACACCCCAGAAAACAGCCTGGTGATACACTGCATAAATGTGATGTTTGTGCCAGAGAATTTAGTAAAGGTGGAGACTTGAAGAAACACACGAGAACACACACTGGTGGAAACCGTCATGACTGTGATGTATGTGGAAAAGGGTTTAGACATCATGGTGGTTTACAGATGCACATGAGAACGCATACAGGCGATAAACCCTATGCATGTGATGTATGTGGTAAAGGGTTTAGTCAGCATGGTAATTTACGGATTCACATGAGAACACATACAGGTGATAAACTCCATGTATGTGATGTATGTGGTAAAGGGTTTAGTCAGCAAGGACATTTACGGATTCACATGAGTACACATACATGCAATACAAGCACAGGTGATAAAATAAATGACTGTGATGTATGTGGCTAACGATTTAGTCATCCTAGTAAATTGCAGATTCACATGAGAAGACATACAGGTGATAAACCCCATAAATGTGATGTATGTGGTAAAGCATTTATTGGACGTGGCGAGTTAAAAAGACACATTAGAATACATACTGGAGATAAACCTCATGACTGTGATGTATGTGGTAAGGGGTTTATTCAGCATTATAATTTACAGATTCATATGAGAACACATACAGGCGATAAAATTCATGACTGTGGTGTATGTGGTAAAGGATTTAATCGGTATAGTGATTTACAGATTCACATGAGAACACATACAGGCGATAAACCTCATGTCTGTGATGTATGTGGCAAAGGCTTTAGTCAGAATGGTAGTTTACAGATTCACATGACAACACATACAGGTGATAAACCCCATGCATGTGATGTATGTGGTAAAGGGTTTAGTCAGAATGGTAGTTTACAGATTCACATGAAAACACATACAGGTGATTAACTCAATGAATGTTATGTATGTGGTAAAATATTTTTTGGGAGTAGTGACTTAAAAAGAGACATATGAGAACATATAATGGTGAAAAACCTTATAAATGTGATGTATGTGGTAGAGGGTTCAGTGAGAGTGGTTATTTAGATAGACACTCGAGAACACATACTAGTAATAACTTTTGAGCTAGATAATTTACTTGAAGAAGTGACTTACAGAGAACACATACGTATGACAAACACCATAAATATGATGTAAGGTGAATTATAGTTTTTTAGTAGAAATATCATAAAGAGACACATTCTTTCATTTCTTAGGCCATTTTTCTCTATTCTTTAAATTTTTTGCCCATTATTCTCTATTCTTTATTTTGTGGTCCATTTTTCTCTACTCTTTATATTTGTTATAAAAATAGGGAGATGTGGTATGATTGCCAATGAGACAACTATCCACCAAAGTTCAAATGAAGTGATGTAAGCAATTATAGGCAACCGTAAGGCCTTCGACAATGACAAAAAACCATACCGTAAGGTCGGCTATAATAGGCCCCGACATGAAAATATGAAACAATTCAATTGAGAAAACTAACGCCTTAATTTATAACAAAACAGTTTACGAAAAACAAAAAACAAATACGACAAACATGAACCAACGACAACCACTGAACTACAGGCTCCTGACTTGAGACAGGCACATAAAGAATGTGGCGGGGTCAAACATGTTTGTGAGCCCTCTCAACCCCCCCCCCCCCCAACCTTGGACAGTGGTGCCCATTATTCTCTATTCTGTAAACTCCCACCCACATCCTCTGATAAGAACACATACTAGAGATATGCATTACAAAACAATGTTTTTGATAGATGAGTTTTTTTTTTAAAGAATCGTTCACTTCAGAAACACTAAGGTTATTAACCTTTAAATCTATTTATCGCACCGCGGGTAATTTATCACGTTATGATTGGTTTAATGCCGTCACGTGGTGACCCCTTATGGATCCGTAGGGGGTTAGTCATAGGGGGTTCATGACGTCATCTATTAATGTTGTTGTGTTTCATTGTTTATTTTTCTACAAAACGCAGCAGAAAAAGTCCCGCGTGCGATAAATTCGTTATACGGTTCACTACTGACCCCCTACGGACCATAGAGGGTGAATAAAATCCATAGAAGATTCGGCCTTCAGCCTCACCCCCTATGGATTTTACTAACCCTCTATGGATCCGTAGGGGGTCAGTAGCGAACCATATAACTTATAATATGTGAATATTTTTACCTAACCAGTTACCCGGATAATCTTTCGACCGAAAGAAAAAGATTCCTCAGGATGAGGTACAAATGTATTTAAATATGGTAATTAAGTATAACAGAAATACCAAACTCCAAAACAAATTAAAAAAAAAGGGGGGGGGGGGGTCCATAAAAACTGACAAATCAAACGTAATGTTTTGTCTTCTTCCGACCTGTAGTAAAACCCGGGCCATGTGCGCGTTTTTTGGCTGTGCGGGACGTATGAATTCGCAGCCTCGACTGGTCTGAATTGGGACGTTAACACCGATGATTCGTGAAGAAAAAGTGTTGCACTATATATATATTCGCATGTTAATTACCTTTTTTGGAAGAGTTCATAGGTTGATTGTTGCGAGGCTAAATATCTGTCCCTATCAAATACAATAGAAAATAATAGAGCAGACAAGTTGAAAAACACCAATAGAAAGATAAAGGCAGTGGCTAATTTGCCGGAACCAGCAAAATAGATATATGCTATTTTGCCGTCTCCAACATTAAAAAAAATGATGACTCCTATGGATACTGTAAAATGGTTTACATTATAAAAAAATAGTTGATATGTTTTTATCTCAGTTCAAGATACACAATATACATTAAATACACACAATTTTTATAAAAACATTGTCAAGCAAAATGACATTGAAATAGTTATTGTAAAAAGAAGTCACAATAAAAATACCGAATTATTTTGTAAGAATGAAT